ATGAGGCCAACATATTTCCCCATAATTTAGTGTCACTGAATGATTTTGTACTTCCGATTTGTCCCTAAATAGTCAAGAATTTTTAATAGTATTTGGTGTATTTTTCTAAGTCAGTCAGATGACATCCTTCTTTCCTTGAAAAAAATGAAGATTGCCTTCAATATTCGTTTGTAGAGTCAATATTTTCTGGGGTTTGTTTGAAGGTGGTTGACAATGTTTCGTGGTGTATTTCATCAGTTCGTACTTCCATTGTCTAATATAATATAAATTGATTTGAAATNGGCTTCCACAATGTGTAAATTAAATGTAGCTCAAGAGAAAATCTGCTCTCAAACTTTTTCACAGTAACTTTTAAAGGTAACCAGTTTGTCCTATACACTTGAGAAAAGTTCTCTCATTAATCCATACTTAGATATTTCTCAAATCGTGAAAGGTCAAAAACCAAGAAAACATCTTTGAACAGCTTAGGCGCGGTTCCCACTGGAGCGTACGATAAGCGATGCAACAGGTGATTCGATAAGCAACTCGATCCTGATTTGACACCGATCACTCACAATCGTGCATACATAATGGAAGTAACTAGTCTAGTGCACACTGAAGCGTTCACGATAATACACCGATAATTATCGGAGTCGCGTCGGTAAGGGGGACATAGCTGCCGGGTCGCTTGAGCGGAAGAAAGGCGCGATATCGTTCGACAGGTTCATATCGGGTCTGCAGGAATACGTGCAATCATCTATTTCCTTCGTGAAATTAGTGGAGCAGAACACATGCTTCTCCAGTCCCCTTGACACCAATCTCGTTAAAACATGGTAACTATTTGAGCTCATTCTATAAAACTCTCTAAATTTCTGTTCGTGTTGAGAGAGCTCACGAGAAATCACTGCGGAATTGTGTTTAATATTAAACATTGTATGGGTGTTCCCAGTATTTTCTAGATTCCCTCTTTTGCAAGTACCGGTAAGCAACTTCTCAGTTTTTTTTCATACAGGCATAGACTATCGTATCGCTCCAGTGGGAACGACACCTTAGAATTCAAAGAGATATTGTTTGATAGTTTGAAATAGTATTTCAAAGTCCAAACATGAATGTTTGGAATGAAGTTTATCCATTTCTTGGTACTGTAATTAATTTTTGGGCGGCAACCTTATAGATTAGAGCATTAAAAATTCAAAGTAGTTGAACATAAGAAAATGAAAGTTGTTTTTAAAACTGATTCACATAAGTCAAAATCAGAATAATTCCGTCCATAGTTTTTGGGCGGCAACCTTATAGATTAGAGCATTAAAAATTCAAAGTAGTTGAACATAAGAAAATGAAAGTTGTGTTTGAAACTGATTCACATAAGTCAGAATCAGAATAATTTCGTCCATGGTTACAGTTATATTTTTACTTTTGCCAACAATAAATGACTGTCGTTCCAAACAATTCTTGCAAAAACATTTAATTTTTTAATTACCCAACCCAACAGAAAAAGAAGCCAAATTACATTCTTTCGGATTTTATTGGTCACCCTCCGCATTTTGATTATTCCTTCAATCCCTCTAGAAATAACATAATGAAAATTCATTTAATGTTTTGTGCTTTTTACATCCGTCCGTAATTAATCTTAATATGCATAAAAATGAAATGAACGCGAAGGGGATGAATGGCGTACTATAAAGGAGATTTCACTTAAGAGCCGATTCACTCGATTCGTTTAATCAACCATTTACAAGTATAAAGTTAAATGGTTGAATTTTATTTTAAACGGAGCTACTATGTCTTTCGGCGATTGATCAATATTCACGAATGAGACTATGAAACGATTTTCGTATTTTCTTTCAGACGGGTTAATAAATGAATTGACGTCTTATTGAAGATATTTTAGTGTGGAACTACTTCAATAGTTTCCAAACAGAATGTTTATATAATTTTCAGGAGAAATGTATTCTATACGTTCACACGACTACAGATACTTATCAAATTCTTGTAATTTCACTTATATAGTTAGATTTATTCATTTGTATCAAACAGAAAATAGATAACTCTGATTTCATTTTACTTTGTTCCAGTAAAGTTATGAAGCATGTATCTACTATTGCAAAACTATAATTTTCTAGTCATGATTTTTATTATCAAACGGTTTTTTTAGCTTGCCCTGTTGGTTTTTGGTTTATTTATTTGTTGGAGTCAAATTTAGTGATTGAAGTTTGACCCCCTTCCTGTTGACAGATTGATCTGATGTTTTGATGACAGTACAATTCAATAATTTCTGTATCAAGATGGCCGCAGCTAAAAAATGGCGGATAACATATTATTTCACAACTAGCTCAATATGGGTAATAAATGACAAGGCTCAACTAGTAGAATAGTAATACACTTTGAAAAAGATGGAAATTCAAGATAACCGCAGCTAAAAAATGGCGGGATTACATATTACCTTTCGGTACTGAGGCACTAAATGAACTGAAAAGAATGAAAAGAATTGAGTAACAAAATTAGAAACTAAAAACTTGAACATAAAATGATTTTAAAAAAATGTTAAACGGTTGTATTGAAAAAATAACATGATGCTGAAAACTGAAAAATAATTAGGAAGGTCCTAGGTAGCAGTTATTACACCACTCTCCTCAACAATCTACGGTATTCTGTTTAAAAAAATCTGTATAAAATCTGTTTTTCCGTTAACCGGCTGTGGCACCCCTACGAACGACAACCCTCAGAAGTCGAAACTTGTGCGAGCTGAGGACTAACGGGGTCTTACCTTTAAACGTGTGATTCCTAACACGGGTTGGACGATAGCGAGCGACCGATTCGAGTGCGTGAACAAAGCACCCCTGTCGAACCGCTCGGCTACCGACCGGCTATCATCAGATAAAAACGTAAAAACATCGTTGAGCGTAGTATATACATATTTACTAAGGTTACGCTACGCCCAACGATTTTATTATTTTTTTCTCTACAGCGCACTGAAAATTATGTATCAAGCTTCCAGTCTGAATTTGAGAAAAATGTATTTATTTTTCTAATTGAAAGCGAAATTTCAAATTTGTTTCAAATTAATCAGTTTTATTAGCTTTCCTGATTCGAAGAGCCTCTCAAACAATTTCTGGTTGTGATACATTTGGATACTATTCTATGGGAGCAATCAGATTTTTTCAAAATTATATTTTGGACTTTTGAAATGTTCAATTTCTGATTTTTTTTTATTTTATACAGGAAAGCAAAGACGCATCTCTAACTTCAACTACGTATTTTCTCCTGAAAATGAAGATTCCGGATAATGATGAAAATATTCAATACTGGCAATCTTATCGAATCTTGGAGCAGTTTGAAAAATTTTCGAAATATCGAGAAACATTTGTGATATCAAATACTTTTACCGACTGATATTTCTGTGAAGGTCATTTCTGATAATAACTCCAAATTCTACTACATTTGCAACACCCTATTTGAGAAGTATTTCGGGTTTGGTTGACTTGAAAGTTATCTCGTAATCGATGTTCATCTTGACAAAAGAAATCAAATTTTCAAACAAGCAAGAACAGATGAAAAATGTTAATACACACTTTTCAATAAAAACACTGACGGTGTTTCAATATGTGTTCAATACATATTGGGTCATCGATCACTTCACAAATATTTCTTTTCGTTTTGAGGTTATCATTCTGTTTACTCTTATAAAAAAATATCAGGTGAGTACTCGTATTTGTAGTGAAGATGTAATTTGGCAAAACTGATTGGTATCAGATCCTCAACTCGACACTGTCTGCGACCGCGGTGTTTGAAAACGTTCCCCTTTTATAAAAAATTGCTTTTAATTAAAGAAAGAGGCGCAAATTTTGAGCACCTTTGCGTTTACGACACATTCGTTTTCATATCATATTCAGACGTAAATAACCCGACAGAGCACCTTAAACTAATAAGATATTCGCTATTCCGTATACAGGGTATCAATTTGAAAACTTCCCTTCCTTAATATCTTTCTTCCAGTAAACAATAAGAGGAATCGAAAAAACAGGTCAATTTTATTGTCGTGGTTCAACCCCCTAGAAGGAGTAGATGTTACCCTTAAAATTTCAAATGAGAAGGGGGTCAAGTGGCACATCATTTCGATTGGAATTCAATTCTGCTTCTCTGACTTATTATTTTTTCCGAAAAATAGCGTTCTGAACTGATAGCCTTTACTGAGATGAATGGTTTGACCAGAACTGATAAAAATATTCGGTGGTACCGTTCCAACCCTTTATTAGGGATTACATTAGCCATTAGCTCCGATTAATCAACATCTAAAAGTAGTCATAGTAAAATGTATATGTGTAGACAGTGAAGTTGTGTTTAGTAAATACTGAATTTTTAATTATTTTTTCCGAAAAATAGCGTTCTGAACTGATAGAAACAATTATTAGTACGCCTTTACTGAGATGAATGGTTTGACCAGAATTGATAAAAATATTCAGTGGTACCTTCCAACCCTTTATTAGGGATTACATTAGCCATTAGCTCCAATTAATCAACATCTAAAAATAATCATAGTAAAATGTAGATGTGTAGACAGTGAAGTTGTGTTTGGTAAATACTGAATTTTTTATTCTCATATGTTTTTAGATAAAAAATTGGTTCGCAAATTTGAACGATGTGGTAGAATTATTGTGCAAACCTGTTGGACTGTTCAGTGATTACTTCAATAAGTGTATAAAAGAGTAGAAACGGTTTACATTCTTCAAGACAGAATTGAAGGAGAATTTGGAAAGTGCCCACAAAGGGCGGCATGTCTTTTTAATGAAAGGCATCCAAATTGTAATGTAAGTCAACGGTATGTACTTGATTTGGTGAATAAGTTTCACGAAACAGGTTCAGTGAAAAATAAAAAATTAAATCTTTAAGATCACTTTGAGAACAGACGGGAATGTCACGCGACACCGTAAAAAAAGCATAGAAAATGCATCAATTTCAGACTCCTGCAAACCCCTATTTGAATTGCATAAAATCTTGACAGTTTTTGGAATCTCTATTTCAGAAACAGTATGTTTGATTAACAAACATAAATTGATATTTAGCAGTTACTCCAATTATTATGCCCTTCGTCAATCTAACGACCTATTTGAATTGCATAAAATCTTGACAGTTTTTGGAATCTCTATTTCAGAAACAGTATGTTTGATTAACAAACATGAATTGATATTTAGCAGTTACTCCAATTATTATGCCCTTCGTCAATCTAACGACCTAAGATTACCCATACCAGCCTCTACTCTTGTCAAAGACTATATACTATAATGGTTTCAAGATGTTCAATCATTTACCTGACCATATTAAAATTTTAGAGGATAGCTGTGTATTTCGAAAATCAGTAAAAGACTTATTATGTGGTAGACCATATTATAGCTTAGATGAGTTCTATGAGGATCGCTTTCTCTAAATCATTTTATCAACTGTATTTTTCATTAAACAAAGTATGGTATACTGCATTAAAATAAAGGAAAATTAGTTGCATCAATCAAAAAAAAAACTGATGGAAGTGTTTTAACTTTGTCAATAAGACCTAATGTTCTTTGGGCAACAAAGCATATTATGATCAATATTATCATTATTCATCCTCTACGAGGTTGATTATAATAGTAGAATAAAATTTTGTGAAAGCATGTCTCATCGAGTCAATGCCATCCCTAATACTCTGTTAAATATCTGTTTCAGTGATAAATGTTTATTTTTTCCTAAAGTTAATGTTGATAGACGAGATATATAAGGTTTACGAAACAGATTCAGTGAAAAATAAAAAAAGAAATCTTTACGATCACTATGAGAACAGACGGGAATGTCACGCGACACTGTAAGAAAAGCATAGAAAATGCATCAATTTCATCCCCTGAAAGGATAATTATGATAGTAGAATAAAATTTTGTGAAATCATATCTCATCGAGTCAATACCATCCCTAATCCGCTGTTAAACATCTGTTTCAGCAATAAATGTTTAATTTTTTTTAAAGGCAATGTTAATACACAAAATTGTCGCCATTGGAGTGACGAAACCCACATATTTTTTGAGAAAGGAATACACAAAACCCACAAAAAGTTAATGTTTAAGCTGGTATTCTTCGGAATGCCATTATTGGTCCATTATTACTGAAAGAAAACTTGACTGGCAATCTGTACCTTGAAATGCTTGAAGAGACTATTCGACCCTCTCATAACTCACGAGCTAGAAACTCAAATGGATGCAGAAGGTAATGAACTTTTGCAGGAGGATCTGTTACATTTCCAGCAGGACAGTGCTCAACCTCATTATTTCCTTTCCGTCCGACAGTGGTTGAACGAGAGATTTCTAGATAGATGTATGACAGAAGGAGAGCAGTAGAATAGCCTCCGAAATCACCGGATTTGGAACCCTCATATATCTTTCTTTGGGGACATTTCAAATCCGTTGTTTATAAAACACAACCTTCTGATAATGAAGAACTTAAAAGATGAATTACATTCAGAACAGTGTGAGTAGATTTAATGTTTGAAATGTCTTTCTCGCAAATTGAATTTCATTTTGTAAAAGGACAATAACCAACAAATCAAAAATCCCATGCGTAATACATGTATTCCTGTCATTCAAGGGTTGGAAAGGTGACCCCTACTCTTTTAACAATTTTCATTAAAAGGAGTCAATATAAACACGCCCTTTTTCGGAAACTGCTCATCAAAAAATGAAACGTCGGGGTATCAAAATAATGTGCCATTCGACACCCCTTCCCATTCAAGATTCTAAGGATAATATCTCCCTCTCCTAGGGGGGTTGAACCACGATGGCTACACATTTTACTTGAAACTGTCCCCCTTGACCTGTTTTTTCGATTCCACATATTATTTACTGAGAGGAAGATTTTGAGGTAGGGACCTTTTCAAATTGACACCCTATATACTTCCTTTGAGGACTGAGTTTCTCGGAAAAGACGCCTCCTGATTAAACTCAGTAGTTAAACTAGAACAAGTGGTTCTTGTCTACCACACAAAACCTAAATACACTCGTGAGACCCCTCGAGAAAGCATCTTGGCTGCCAGCCAACCTCATAATAAACGATGTTGTAATTGAAAAATTACGGAGCACATTCCAAAAACGAGATAAAGACACTTTCTGTCAAAACATGCACTTGCTCTCAGATTTGTTTCAATTTTCATGTTTGCTTTCGATTAGGTTCGCGAACGTAAATGTGTTTGGTGTTTGCCTGTTATTTTTAGGTGTTATCTTGAGTGCAGATCATCCGATGACATGTTTAGATTGGAAAATGAGGATGGCCGTTGAAATGGTGTTGAGAAGTTAGGTAATGAAATAACGTTTGAAAGAACCATTAGTGTTTTAGGTAACATACAACCGTAATGGGTGATTATCCGAAAAAATTATGCAGTCAGCATGAAAATAGAAGATGGATAAATAAAAAAAGAAAATTTGTTTGAAGGTGATTGACAATGTTTCGTGATGAATTTAATTAGTTCGGAATTCCATTATCTGATATCATATAAAATGATTTGAAATCCCTGAAAAAAGTAAAAAAAAAGAATTAAAAATGATTAGCTGAAAATAACACTTATGAATTTCACTAGTTCGGACTTCCATTGTCTAAACATCTGACCTGAAAGACCACTCACCATACAAACTAATCGGCTTCGTTAAGAAGCTGGGTTTGTTTGACCGAGTGAGAATAAGTGTGAGCCACAATAAACCCTTGCGGCTTGCGGTGGAGGGTCGAATAGACCCACTCACTTTGGACCTAACCTAACCATTGTCTAATATATACAATGATTTGAAATCCCTGAAACAACTAAAAAAGAATAATTAAAAATAAATGGCTGTAAATAATAATTATATTAAGCAATAAACCTGAAATGAAATAACAGTGAAATAAAATACTAGTGAAAATAAAACAATTGAACAAAAAATGAAAATAAAGAAATACAAAATGAAAATGAAGTTAAAAATAGAAAGTTAAGAGATTTCAAGCCACGTTAGTTCACGACGTTTCGATTGTTAGTATCTACAATCGTCTTCGGGTGATGACTGGACTGATTCCTTCGAAAGATGACTATTTATGGGGTCGTTCGAGTACTTTCACTTATCCCCGCTTTCCATTTCATTCCGCTTCACTGGTTCAGTGGGAGATGACCGTTTGGCGGGAGTTGACCCACTGGTTCAGTGGGAGATGACCGTTTTGCGGGAGTTGACCAGTAAAGAGGAAAAAATGGAAAGCGGGGATGAGTGAAAGTACTCGAACAATCAGTGGAATGAAATACAAGTAAAAATGGAGCAGTTGAATGAAAATAAAAAATAAAAAATGAAGAGATTCCAAGCCAAGTTACTTCACGACGTTTCGATTGTTATTATCCAGAACAGAAAATGACAGATTAAATAGAACTGGCCGATACTTTATGAAAATACACATTGAAACTAATTGTTACAGTTTATTGTATGATACCTGAAAAGGTCATCAACTATATCATGAATTTTTCGAAAGTACCGTAAATATTCCTATCTTTTTTTACCTGCAATGAATATCTTCATTAATGGCGAATTATTAGGAGTTTTTGAATTTGTTTATTTCCATACTCTCCAACAGGTTGAGTTTCGAACCTTCATTCTGGAAATGGAGAGGCTTGTATTCATGGTTGAACTCATGTCCTTCTGTGATCAAGTGAGTGGCATATGTGGAATTTATTTTTACAAAATCATTGAATATGACAAGTGAATAGTAAATTTCCTTTGCAAAAAATACTTTAGTTTACGTAGTAAGCTATCGATGTGAACTAAAATTAATTTTTTATATTTTTCAGCTTATCGAAGATGAAAATCCGCAAAAAAGTCGATAAAATAACAGACACAATACTAGCTTTAGCACTAGCCTAAATTGTTAGAAACCTTTTTTATATGAGTATGAGTCCAATTTCTGCCCTGTCAAGTGATAATTATATAACATTTTCGACGTTTGAAAAAAAACAATTATTGTGGTTTCCTTCAATATTGGGCGTTGTAATTTGTACATAACTTGATTCAATGAATTTTTCATGATTGTCGCCCGGTATATTACTTGAAACATTACGAAAACCTGTACTCAGCCTTGTCGATGAAATAAATGTCGTCACAATGTAGAAAAAAAAATAGTTTACATGCGAAGTACATTTCGTGAATGAATTAAATTCTATTGAAATGGAAGGAATACATTAGAAATTTTCCGGTACCATCATGAAACCCCCCAGTCGGGACCATAACAATTAAACTAACGACCGATAAGGCTGGTCGAATGCTCATTATTTTTGTTTTTATGCTGATAATGTTTATCATTAACATTACTATCCATTCAATTGTTTCACCGTTCCTTATGACTCTAAAATTATAATGCCAATATACTCGTACGTGTTCAACTATACGTAATACGAGCCCAGGGATGGACTGTGAATGTAATGAATACATTTTTGAAAAAATATCCGTTACGGCTTTCAACTGAAAATAGCCCTTTTTTTCAATCAAGAATTGAGTACCTATTACCACGTAATTAAACTATTTCAAATACACATCTAAAAGATGTTAACATATGTTTAATTGGTCTCAATCGGCGGCATTACTTACCGATAATTGACAATAATTCAAATGACTGTCTCAAGATAACCCAGCGAAAAAAATTTACCCTTTTTGTTACAAACTGCTACATTCTTTGCTAATCAAAATAGGATTTTCCATGCCAAACATCTTCCAATAAGAACTCAATTATTCTCAGCAAATGCTCAAAAAAACTCTCTCCAGCTTTAATGCGTAGCTTGCAGAGTCAAATATATGTTTATGTAGATTTATAAATACTGAACCACGTTCATTATCACATCCTCGCCATGCTCTTTCATGTAGCCCAAAAGAAAAAATCACGAGGTGACAGATCCAGAGACCGCGGTGGCCAACCAATCCTTTCACCCCTTTCTAGGTATTTGTTAAAAATTTCCATACTCGGCGGGCAGAATGTGATAGATCGCCATCTGACTGATCTCACACATTTCTGCACAAGTTCAAATAGAGAAAGTGATGTCTCATACCAGCACATACATTGATATCAGCTCTGACTCTTCCCAGCATTTACCTACAAAATATTACTCTTTGTAATTTATTCGTAACTTTTTGTATATGTATTTGTAACTTATTCATTTAAAATGACCTCCTTTATCACCTCCTTAATTATGGACCATGACCCTATGGACAGCAATGTCAATAATGTTTTTTTAAGCTAAAAAAGGTTGGATG